ATGCGTAGTATGAAGGCTCAGATTCAAGGGGATGCAGAGATTGGGAGATCCTGGAAGCTGTGCTTCTCACTGAGCACACTCGCATGGTCAGGAACCGGGTCCTGGGTAGGAGAGAATGCCTGTATGTTTCCTGCTCCCAGCAGGCTTAGCCCTTTAAAATACCAAATTAAATGATGCTGAAAAGGGGGGGGGGGGTTTGCACTGAATCAGTAGTTTCTTAAAATTCCGAGTGTTAGCTGCCTTCTGATCCCAAAGGACAGTGAAGCTGCAGGAGCCGGAGCTGGAAAGGACCCTGGAGAGCAGAGGGCCTGCTCTGGTACTCAGAATGGTGTCTTTTGGCCTTAAAAGAGATTTTAATTTTTTGGTGAATGTCAGTGTCCCTCACCCTCATGTGACTGTGTGTGTTTATTTAGAAGCTGGCTGAAGGTGATTTTGGAACCTCTTTAGTTGAAATATGAGCAGCAAGTAGGTGCTGACTCACTTCCATGGATGATGGCTTTGTGAGTGTAAGACCTATAGTCACCATCAACCTACACTATGACACATGGTTTGCCCTGAGGTACACAGAGCAAACAGGGGACACACATGATTTACCCTAATGGCGGATGTGCCAAGTACCTGGTGAGTCAGTAGACTGGGCTTGTCAGGAAGCTGGGCTTGTGTCACCAGAGATGGCCCACGCAGAGCATTACCTAGACACAGTCCTGAAGGTGACTATCACTTTGTGCCAAGAGACACCCTACCTGAGGCTGTCTTATGCCATAGATAAGGGCAGCAGAACCCTGGCTCTGTTCCCTGGTGGGAAGGCTTGGCAGGGTGACACTGATGTTTTCTGAGGGCTGCCAAAGGCAGACAAATGCAGTTGTGCATCGTTAAAAGAAAATCGTAGAAGTATTTAATACACACGTGCACACGTACACAAACACACATACATGCATGCACAACGCGCACAAACACATGCACACACATACGCATGCATGCACTCACATCCTTACATACAAACCCGCACACATGCACACAAATGCACACACCATGCATATGAATACACACACACAGATGGACGTGGTTATGTTCTCTCATTCTGAAATGCCCTCCTTTTTTACCCTAATCTATTCAAATTCAATTTCAGGGGCTAACCTTTTATATAAGCCAGAGTCTAGTCATGCCAGTAATTTGAATGGGGAAAATTTAATAAAAAGGATCATTAACTAGTAAAAGGTAATTTACTCCTAAAAGGAGTAAAAGAAGATTCTAAGGGTACAGAAGTAGCAAACGCACAGAGCAGCTGCTCCCTGTAGGGCCGAGGGGTAGTGAACCAGGACAAAACTGAAGACTCAGCCAGGGCTTCCCACCTGCAAAGCTGAGCTGCCTGGGTGTTGAGATGTGGTGGAAGGCGTGGTCCATGGGGGCAGCCTTCCTGGTGGCGGAGAAATTGGCTGGAGCTGATGTGCAGGAGAGGCCTGCTGGGTAGTCAGAACACTCGCTGGAGGGTGTGGGTCTGAGCTGCTCCATGGGAGGGACCCACGAGGTGGAGGAGAAATTTATTGGGGATGGCTGGTCTGTGAGGGCCACTGAAGTGGGCACTCCCAAGCCACTGGCCTGCTGGCTGTTGTGCTGAAGGCAGCTCATTGGGACCAGCAAGGGAGAATCCTTGCTCTGTTGTGGCCTCCACTATCCCTCCAGAGCCCTGTTGACAAAGCCCAAAAGCCACCATCTGACAGGAGAAATGACACAGGGTTTTGCTCCAATGTCACAGTTCAGGGCAAAGAGGGTGGGCTTGGAGCTGAGAGGCATCTGTTCATGAGTGGCACATACCCGGCTTCTCCTGCCGGGAGCCAAGCCTTTCCTCAGATTTCAGCCTTTTTGGGCCTTCCATCCATGAGCTCCCACGGTGGATCTCGCTGCCACATGTCTGTCAGGTGTCCCCTGTGGTAGAGGGCACAGCACTCAGCCTGCTGTAAGTCCCAGTGAGTGCACAATGGTTGATGTCTTTACTGCAAGGGGAGGCAACAAGGGTGTGTATCCTTACCCTATTTTCCAATCCTCTGTTCCATTTGGTATTGACCCTGGAACAGCTTTGAGTAGGGGCTGAGTGGGCCTCCTTAGGGTGAGGGGTGGCTGCTGGGTGCCAGGGCAGCCTCACCGGAGCATCAGGCTGGACCTGGGCTCTGGTCACACCTTGCTTTAGAATTAATGGGTTGTGGATGCCTTTCTGGCCACCTGTTGAATAATGTGACCTCTCCTCCGCTGGGTTGGAATTGGGGGACAATTACTTGAGCTGCAAAAAGTCATCCTATATAATAAAAGCCTAATATGTGAAGTGTCCGGTCAACCAGTCAGCTGTTCAACCAATCAAAGCGTAATATGCTAATGATGTGCTAAGGCCGCTCAACCGCTCACTATGACGTGCACTGACCCCCAGGGGGCAGGCAGTTGACCGTGCACTGACCACCAGGGGGCAGACAGTCAACCAGTTGACCAGTCACTATGACGTGTACTGACCACCAGGGGGCAGACGCTCCAACTGGTAAGTTAGCTTTCTGCTGGGGTCTGGCCTATTGGGACTGAGCGAGATGGGCTGGACACGCCTTGGAGTCCTCCCCCGGTCCCTCCCCAGCTGGCCAACCTCCTGCATCCCTTCCTGGCCCCAGTTGTGCACTGGTGGGGTCCCTCATCTGGCCTGCATCCTCTCACAATCCGGGACCCCTTGGGTGATGTTGGAGAGCTGGTTTCAGCCCAATCCCGCAGGCCTCTGGTTTGTTTATAACAGCCTGGACCCTTGTATTGTGAGGATGTGCCCAGTTCCATGTTTGACTGTATTAACCTTCTTTGTTGCTTCCTTAGAACAAGGGTTTGAGTGTGGCCTTGGCCAGCCATCGCACTACTGACCTTATGTTCCAAATTCTTTTAATATGTTTTTATTGATTCCAGAGTGAGAAAGGGAGAGGGAGAGGGAGATTGAAACATCAATGATGAGAGGGAATCAATCATCCATTGGTTGCCTCCTGTATGCCCCCAACTGGGGATCAACCGCAACCCGGTCAGGGCAGATGCTCAAATTCTTTAAAAAGAGCCCTGGCCAGTGTGGCTCAGTTGGTTGGGCACTGTCCCACGCATCAAAAGGTTGCCGTTTCGATTCCTGGTCAGGGCACATGCCCGGTTTGCCAGCTCGATCCCCAGGTGAAGGGTGTGCAGGAGGCAGTCTATCGATGTTTTACTCTCACATCCATCCATCTTTCTCTCTCCTCTCTCTTCCTCTGTGTCTAAGAAGTCAATAAAAAAATATATACAAAAAAGAGAGAATCTATTCCCAACATCAAAAGGTTGCCGTTTCGATTCCTAGTCAGGGCACATGCCCGGTTTGCCAGCTCGATCCCCAGGTGAAGGGTGTGCAGGAGGCAGTCTATCGATGTTTTACTCTCACATCCATCCATCTTTCTCTCTCCTCTCTCTTCCTCTGTGTCTAAGAAGTCAATAAAAAAATATATACAAAAAAGAGAGAATCTATTCCCATCCCTCACAATCCTTTAATTCATGTAGAGTGTGCTGTCAATCCTTAATTCTCTTTTCCCTATAACCTCCCATCTGGGAAAGAAGCTCCTCCATGGCCCAGCTTGGATTAGTATCCACATCAAGGATGGAGGATTCTGCCCAGGGGAATGGAGTCATGTGCACAGCATTCCCTGGGGGTACCTTGGGCTGGGAGGCAGAGGTGGCCAGCAGAACCAGCAGTGGGGGTCCCTCAGGGCTTAAGGACGTCCTGCCTCTGCCTGGAGTCTGTGGCATCTGCTCTGCTGTAGTGGAAGGGGGCAGATAGGCTTCCTGGCTGCTGGGATGAGGATGTTCAGGGCTATAGTATTCTCTTCTTAATTTCTAAAGTAATAGTTTTCTGTGTGGTTCACTTGGCAACTAATTATATGGGATTTTTCAACATTTCTTCCATGTTGGTTGCCCACTGTTATTTAACTCTTCATGTGGTTCATTGCCTCCAATATGTACTTAATTATGTCAGCATCTTTCATAGTACTTAAGAGAGGGTGAGTCCATCATAGATGGTCATCCTCTCTTTGTTGACTTCATGGGCAGAAGAGGTACAGGGTTCCCACAGGGCAGTGGACTCCCTTGCCTTCTCTGTGTGCTCATGGGCCCACCCTACCTCAGAAGCTGTAGCTCCAGGAAGGCAGGGCCCTCAGAGCTCCCAGACCCTCAGCTGAGTTGGGTGATGACTGGGGATGCACATCCTGGGGGCTGATACCCACCTCCCAGCACTGGAAGGACAGGTGGGCATCAGGCCGCAAGTTAAGGCTGTCCTGTCCTAGACAGCCTGCCTGGTGGCCTGCTCCATGTGCCAGGAAACTTTTTGCTCCAGTTAATATGAGATCACTGCAAAAGTTTGCTGAGTTGAAAGAGCTCTAGGTTTCGAGTGTTTTCTAGACTTAAAAAAAAATTATTAGCTACTTCTTGATAAGCAAACCATCTGAGTTTTTTATCTTTAAAGATACCAATACCTGCCTCCCTGAGCTGCTATAAGAATGAAGAGAAATAATGTATATGACCATGTTTTAGAAATCGTAGGTCTCCATCCAGATAGTATTATTAATATGTCTGAGGGTTGGGTGGCAAATGCATTAACTTGATGTACCCTTGAATGAATCTTTAGTAGATGAGATTTGGTTAGGAGCCTTGAATGAACACCCATTTCTGAGGGAGTGGGGTCCAGACCAGGTAAGTTTGATGGAAAGGAGATTGGAAGCATCCGGCCATATGAGAAGGCCAGCCTTGGTATGAGGTTGCAATTGACTGCTCTGGGTACCATGATTGAAGAAGAACACTGAGAGAAGAGGTGAATGAAGGTGTGTGTGTGTGTGTGTGTGTGTGTGTGTGTGTGTGTTCGTTCTGAGGGTAAATCAGGTTTTCCAAGCAGAGGGGCAGAGGGTCGATGCCCACTGGACAGGGTGCACTCACACCTCTCTCTCTGGTCTTGGCCTGTCTCCCTGCAGGTGCACCTCCGTTCTGCCCGGCGTCTCTGTGAGCTCTGCTGTGCCAACCGGGGCACCTTCATCAAGGTGGGCCAGCACCTGGCAGCCTTGGACTACCTGCTGCCTCAGGAGTACACCAGCACACTGAAGGTGCTGCACAGCCAGGCCCCGAAGAGCAGCATGCAAGAGGTCAGCCAGGTCATCCGCGAGGACCTGGGCAAGGAGGTACCTGCCTCTGCCAGGAGGGCTGGGCCCTGGGACGGTATGCTTTTGAAAAGGCCCTGGCAGAAGATCATTGCCAGGTGCTGAGGACCCACTACTCATGCAGAACCACACTTCACACAGCTTTCAGTGCTCAGATCAAAGAGGTTAGAAGGAACCAGTGTTTCTCAGTAAAAAATACTAGTTGGACCATATGAAAGGAGTGATATTCTACTGCAACCTAATATGATTGGTTCAACCTAGTAATATCTATCAAGTATTGAGGGTTTCTCATGTGCCGACACCTGTGCTATGTTCATTCCATGTACTATCTTACTTAATTCTCACCCAATGGCAGGTACTTCCATTAACCCCATTTTGCAGAAGAGGGATAGAGGTTTAGGTGCTAAGGTAAAATGTCCAAGGACACTTTAATAATATGTGATTCCAGCATACTGCTCTCTAATCCTGTCAGCGGGCTGTCCAAATCATTCGGTGCATTGGCTTTCCCGGAACATCTGTGGCAGGCAGCCATCAGCCTCTGCTTGATTACCTCTAGTGATGGGAAGCTCATTCTCTCATCTGCTGCCCTCAGTGGTCTCTTCTTTTGTTAGTCATCTCTAATGATAAAAGTTCTTCCTCCTAAGGCTTAAAACCTGCCTCCTCAAACCTCACTTTTCTGATCTTTATTCTGACACTTAGAGCAACAGAGAAAGGGGCAAAGGGTCCCTCTGTCCACAGCCCAGATCACATTCCTTTGGACTTATGCTAGTGATCTGCAGGATGTGTGGACCCTGAACTGGGCAAAGTGACATGGGCCCTCGCTGGCCTGTCCTGGTTGTCTTGCTTCTGGGGACAGGGAGGGGCTTGAGTAGCTGTCTGCAGGTTGCTGAGCTGTGGGTCAGGCCCAGCCCTACAAATTGTGTGCTATAATCCGAGGGTACCTCAGCTATCTCTACTAAAAAAACTTCCTCTCCGCCCTCACCTATTACTCTATTTGCAGTTCTCCTCTTTGATAGAGAATCCTTTGGGTCTTCTAGAATTTTTTTCTGAGCAAAATAATCTTAAAATCAAGCCCTGAGCAGCTAATACCTTTCCTGAGATGAGTTTATAGCCTTTGATGCCTCCCATTTGCCAGGTCCACCCCATCCCCTTTAACTTGCCTATCCGTTTCATGACTAAGTCTGGGTCAGGCACAGTGGCTTTAGAGTTTGGGCTCTAGAGCCAGGAGTGTGGACCATGCACAAATTATTTATCTGGCTCCTCACTTTCCTCATCTGCAGGATGGGAGAGTGTGTTCTCCTTATAGGATTGTTGTGAGGATTAGACGTGATAATGACTATAAAGTGCGTTTGTGCCATCCCTGACCTGGAGCAAATGCTCGACAAATGCTAGTTACTACTCAGACCCACCGTGTACCCTTGCCCTCAGTGCCAATGCATGGTCTTCTGTCTGCCTGCAATGTCTTACCCCATCCTCTCCCTGTCAGGGAGTCCTTGTATTTCTAGACCATTCATCCATCTATGCACCCATCTGCCAAATGCGAGGCACAGTGCTGAGTATCCTGACCAAAGCCCAGCTCTCCTGTGAAATTGTCTGTGATCTCTGCACAACTTTGCTTCCTCTACTCGTGCACCCTGTGGCTTGGTTATATCTAGGAGGTTCCACTGCAGCACTAAAGTCTTTGGGAAGAAGATTCTTATGGCCCTTCTACTCTGTATCTACAGAACAGTATCTGATGTACAGTGGGTGCCAGTGTTTGTTGAATGAACCATTGGACGAACGAGGGACAGCTTCCTCAGGTTACTCAGGATGGAGAGTCGGGGCAGAGGCTTCATAAAGACCAGTTGTTCCATTTCTTTGGTCTGCATGGAGCTGGCCTGGCTATTTGTCCCTGAATGTAGAGCTGGTATCGGATGCCCAGCATCCAGCCAAAGAGGTCCCACTGGCCTAGAGGGGGCCTGGATCACACAGGAGGGGGGGTATAGAAACCTTTTGGATTTCTTTCCCACTGAGGAACATGGGGGAGATTGAGCGAAGGTGAACCCCAATTTAGGGCTGGGGTCAGGAGCACACTGCAGGCTGGGAGGAGTAGGGTTAGGATGGAGGGACCCCTGGCAGAGGGGACAGGATTGGCACCATGGAGGCTCATGCATGGCTTTGCTTCTTGCCAAGACTCTTGGCTTCCTGCTTCCTATAGCACGAGATTCACCCCCAAATTAAAACTAAATAAATCACTGTAATAACAGTGTGAAGAGCATCATTGCTGGCATGTGGCAGCTCAGTGCCGGTGGCTGCGAGGGAGGAAAGCTAGCAGATTAACCCTTGGAGGTCGACTTGTCTGTGGATAAAGACCCTGATGTTCCTTTTACCCTGTACCTACAGCCCCAGAACAGTATCTGATGTATAGTAGGTGCTAGCGTTCGTTTAATAAACCAATGGACGAATGAGGGACAGGAGGGAGGCTAGAGCAGGTCAGTGGCTTTCTCTAAGCCATGATGAAGCGAGATGAGAAGTTTGGGGTGTCAGCAGTCATGGTGGACCCACCCAGCCGGCCAAAGGATGTTTGGGGTTGGAAGATTTCACCTGCATCTTTAGGGCCTCTTCTCCAGGCCACCTGTCCAAGTAGTCTTGAGTGTGGTGGCCTGTGGCTCTGACCCATGGGTTGTCTTGAGCCCTCTGAGAGAGGGCAGCTGATGACAAGGTCACGGTTCTGTGGGGGTGTCCCTCACAGCTGGGAAGCTGAGAAACCTCTGGTTTCTTACCCCGGCCCCCACAGGCACACAGTCAAAGCCTTCCCTCCCATTCCTCCTCCTCCTCCCACCCGGGAAGATGGCATTTGTTCCCTGTGACACACTTTCTCAGTCTGTGGGTGGAGGGAGGGGAAAGGGGCTGTGCGGGGAGCAGGGTAGGTGGGTGTGGGGGTGGAGGGCGGGGAAAGTCACTCACTTTGCACTTCCCTCCTCCTCAGTCCCTCCTGTGACACTTCTCAGGGAGCAGCTCTCCCCCCAGGAAGATGTTTGAGCAGCCCCTCTGACCCTGGGCTCCATGACTGCCCTGGGATCCTCAGTGGGAAGGTCCATTTCCTCCCTGGTTTCAGGAGTGTGGTTAATGGAAGCTGATCTGGAGTCCTTGGATGAGCTCTGAGGTTACCTGGAACTCAGACAGCGTAGCATCCCTAGATCTCAGACTGAAAAGAGGGACAGGTGGCTCTAGGCTGGTATATTCCAGCCTGGGCTGGTTGGTCACAGCTATGCCTCTCGGGACCCTCCCATTAGCAGCGACCTTAAAGGGTCACTAGTGCTCTCAGACCAATCCCTGTCCCAGGCGGATAGGGCTGGCCCTGAGAGATGTCCGCACATGGGAGTCGGGGGTGAGAGTGAGGTTGCATGATTTACAGTTGGTTCTGGATCAGTCCAAGTCCCTGGGCTTCAGCCAGTGGGAGCAGTGTAGAGGTGAGGGCAAGTGAGGGGATACCATCCTGGCACAAGGATTGGCGTGGGCAGGAAGTGTGCGTCTGGGGTCCAGGTACCACACAGCTAAGGGAGGGGCCGGTGAGCCATAGCAAGACCCCAGATCTTCTGATACCCAGGCCAGTGCTTTGTCTTCTATGTAACAAAACTGTCTGGCAGAAATCCTTTTGGAAATCAGTTTTCTATGTGTTTGTGTGTGTGTGTCTTAGAAGTTTCTCAGCTAGTGTTACCAGAAAGAATCTTACTTTTTACTTTTTCTTTTGAATGCTAGGCTTACGTTTGGAAGGACAGGTGCTGGGAAGCAATCAGGAGCCTGAACTCTAGGAGGTGGGGTCGTTTATGTAGCCGCAAAAGTGACCTGGGTCTGGAGTGGGTTAGGGATGGCCTCAGGCTTGGTCTCCTGACTGCCCTTGGGGCTGTGGGTCCAGGTGCGGTGCTGACCTTGGCCAGCAGATGGCGCCTGAGCCTGAGAATCAGGGAGGGGTGTTTAGGATCTGGGCCTTCCTTTGCTGTGGGGAGCCCTGACGGTAGATGAGGCTCAGGTTCTTTCTACTCCTGAGCGTGGTCCATGCTGTGGAAGGAGCCCAGGCCGACACCTCTGCACCCTGAGTGGGACAGACACAGGCCTAAGCAATGAGGCCGTTGGCCATTTGGCTCTGAGCTGGAAGAGCTGGTAGAGTTCTACCCATCCTTACACCTTCCCCATCTGGTTAGGCATCTTCTGAGGTCCCCATCCAGACTCAGCCTGTAGTTCTGTGGTTCAACACCTTTCCCTTCATTCTTCCATTTCTTGTCTCTCTTTGTTATACAAACAACTGGCATTTAGTGAAAAGGGCACAGTGCCGAAAGCTGTGGGTACAGCCAGGACCTACTTCTGTCCCCTGTAGTCTGGGGTCATTGAGAAGTACATTCATCACTGTAATTCCTGGCCATGTAAGTACCCATGGAGTTTGCAAGAGAGGGAGGGAGGGTGTGTGTGTGGAGGGGGAGTAGGAATGGGACAAGGAGAGGGAGAGGTTACATTTGGATGGATGGAGGCTTTTGGAGCAGGTGGCATTTGACCCAGGCTCTCAAGGATGGGTGAGACTAGAGGAGATGGAGGTTGGAGGAGAGGATTACTGAGTAATGATTGATGAGATGGGCTAAGCAAAGGTGCAGGCTCAGGAAAACATAAAGCACAGAGAGTGCATGGTGAATGGTCTTGTTGACTAGAATTTGTGGAGCTGAGGTTGCAAAGTTGGCACTGCAGTCACATTATGAAGGGTCTTTGAATGTTCTTTTCATAACGTGAGCCTGAGGAAGAGGAAGACTTGGAGAAGGATCTGAGCTAAGTAGGATGGAGTGGGACAGATTTCGTAATATGGGGGATGAGCTCATCCTTTATAGGTGGGGAAAGTGGAGGTGGGAGGTTTGTGGTTTGGTGGAGAGCTTGGGGATAGGAGTTACAGGGGGGATTTAGGAAGAGATGATAGAATTGTCGACTGCACTGGTACAGTTATCTTTGGTCATGGACACAACATATTCCTCCTTCTTTCCTTCTTCCCCAACACA